CTAATTTTCCCCATCTGCAAGCACAAGTTAAAGGGATCAGCAAATAATATTTTAAATAAAGGAAAAAGAGAAAACTCTTGACAAAGTGGTTAAGCAGGGTAAAGGACAGCACTTAACATACAACTGTAACAATAACAATTTTACAGCCTTCTGCTGGGGAGGCAGTGCTCGGCCAGCTGGTTGCTTTACCTTCCTGTAGTAACCTTCACTCACATTTTAGGATTCTTGAGTCTTACTGGACAGCAAGGCCTGGACCGCTTCTGCTTTCCCACACACCAAATAGCAAACTATTACACAAAGACTTCTGCCTTCCTTTTCTACTTTCTAGCCTTTGTACCCAATGCTGACAGCTATTGCCTTAGATAAGAATATCACTCCTCAGGCAGAGTTAAACAGACTTAGCTGACCTTGACTTCTCTACAGTCTTGCACGTATGAACTTTTCGCCTTTATGCTAAAGCTCCCTCTTAAATAGAAATGCTTCTCAAATATAGTGAAACAATATGTGCAAAACAAGTATGTTTTAGGCCTATCTAGTGGGGCATTCTACTTATTGCTCCTTTGCTCTGCCGGTTGTCAACCGAACTCCATTTCTGCTTTGGCCTTCTTTCCCTCAAGGAATTCTTGTGGTGGCAGACAATGTCAGAGCTTTGCTTTCACTTTAGGCCTTAGTCACCAGCGTTACCCAAAGTTAATGTGTATTCAATACATTACAGACAGTAACCCTTTCTGCTAGTCTCTGACCGTGCACCAGATGCAGAATGCTGCAAACAAATGTCCTTTAACTAAATCTAAAATCCCACATATTAACTCCTGATTAGCAGTGGGGTGAGATTGTTAGAGAAGTATGTATTTACACCTCTGCTGCTTTGCCAGCTGGAATCTCTCCATGCTGTAGGATAGCTATAGGAGAAGACTCCAGAGAAACTTCTCTTTTTGCAGTACCTGACTAGGGCAAGGCTACTGGAGGGTTTTTCCCATTAGTTTCATTTCCTGCTTCAAATGGTCATGCAGCACTTTAGTGTGTGGTTGACTGATTGTCATGAGTTACTGGCATTGGTAACTTGTGCCATTTGAGTGATGGGTGTTAGGTGATCTTCATGTGTGCATTTCTATACTGAATGATTCCATGTTTTAAGATTCTTCAGAAAAATTCATTTTCATGGAAGTTTGATTTTTGTTTTTCCTTTCTTCATGGATCAGCAGAGATAAGGAAGGCTGGGGAAAATGTACTTTTCTCTCTTGGCAGGTCCTTTTTCCTTCTTCTTCTGGATTTCTTTAATTGGTTAAGTAAGGTTGTGTGTTCAGTTTCACCAGGTAGTATAACGGATGAAGTCTTAAAGGAACCAAAAGGAAATGATTGAGAAGGTCTTTCTGAGGATAATAGCTCTGCCTTGTAATATAATGCTATTTCTCATGGGAGTGGGTGGGAGGCCTGCCTAAATTTCCTCTTCCTGTCCTGCCAAAATCCCCAAATTGCATAACTGTGTATTCTCCTTACACAGTGGTACCCTTGGCATCCCTAGTAAATCTGCAGGGAAGCAGTGAGGTAGCTGGAGGCTTGAGGGTGGACCAAAATTGGTAGAGGACAGACTTGGTTAGCCAAAAAACAAAACAAACCCAAACCCACAAACTGAATTTACTGACTCTCCCATGTATAACAGAACAACACAATACAGATTTAATAACATGCACTATTTTGTTCTAAATGCACTCCATCTAGGAAAAATAAGCTTATCAGGATAAGCAAAGAACCCATAGGGAGTTCATCAGTTCAGTTTCAAGTCACAAGATGTGTTTTACTTGGCTTTGGAGCCTTCTTGTGCAAGATTAATGTGAAACTGCTGAAATGCAAACTGACAAAAAGACATATTTTTACTGGTTGGTGCTTTTTCCCCTGTGCCATTACTTTCATTGGGAGGCCCCATCACTGCCTTCCCCTTCATCCTTGCCTTAGACTGGCAAGAGTATGGGATAGTGTCTTCCTGACTTCTGTAAGGAAATGAAAGAATGGCTGCCGGATGAGCAGCATGACCAGTATACATCATAAGGATGTAACGCTGAAGGTTTTTGCTTTACCATTTCATTGAATGAGAAGTGAAGAATTGGGACCTCATTAAAGGGGTGTGTGAAACATGGCTATCTTAGGGTAGGTTTTGCCTGAATATAGAGGGAAAGATTTGCCTCCTTTGGAAAAATATTTCTGCTTCTTGAAAGTTCAAGTAGTCAAACTTATTCCCGTTGAAACTTTACTAAGCTTTACTGGAGCCTATCCTAGCCATGTATTTAGGCCGACTATCATTAAAATGACTTTCCTAAAATCAAGTTAACCCACAAAGATTTTGATAATCCTGCTCTTACTTTCTGTGTTCAGCACCCTAAATAGGCTCAGAACTGTTGATCACATTATTTGAGAGATCAGGTACTACTCAGCGTGTGTAAGGGTGGGAGAATCTGGCTCCAAATGATTTCTTTTTCTCTCATTGCTACAGGAACTGGAAAAGACAAGGGTGTGTGGGCGGGCCTGGAGTCCCTCCAAGGAAAGTGTGAGGCCTTGGGCAAAACAAATCCATCAGGTCTCTCATTTCTTCCAAATATAGGTCTTTTCTGAGCAATAGCCAAACTCAAGTCTAAAATCCAAATTCAGCCTTTTCAGAGGGAATACATGAAAAAGACCCTATGGCCTACAGAATCCTTCTATAGAAAATATTTTGATAGCTCTTCCGCTCCGGCATTATCTTCCACTTAAAAAGAAAGAAAAAGAAAACACACAAAGCTGGAGCGCATGGTTCAATTTATAATGTAAAATATCTAGTTGATGAAAATAATATTTCTGAAAACAATCTGTTGTGAGCTATCAAGCATTTTTGCTTACGTACCAGTTGGCAGGAAGTAGACAGATAAATTATTACAATATGTAACAAAACAAATTGCTCTAAAGAGAAATGGTATTTCTGTGTGTATGAGCAGGATAAGGAGAATTAAATCCATAAAAGTATGCTGAGAAATCATCATCACGACATAAATATACTGGAAGCAAAGGCATTCAGTTCAACTCTATCCTTGCAGGAATCTTGAACAAGACAGATTTTAAGATACGCGAATGTTTTCCTGAAGTAGAATAGAAAAATCCTGGACTTAAATGACTAAGAAAGAACTTGAGAAGTTCCTGCTGTTGAGAGGAAGGGGTCTTATAGCCATTTTGCCAAGATACTTCCAAATTTGTCAGGCATCACCACATTTTAATAAAATGGAGCCAATTGCAGCAGCTCCCCAGATCTGTAATAGTCTATTACTGCCCATGGGAAAATTTTCTGAAGTGCTTATGGAGGTGAAGATTTAGGAGACAAAATCCCATTAACTTTCAATAAGGCAGTTTCTTTAGAGCCTGGCATGTGGACAAATTACACTGAGATAAACTCTGTATGAAATAACAGCATGTCCATTGCTCTGTTATGAATTTCTGTGTACATGCTCTTATCCCACAGTGACCAGTTAATGCAAAGCTGATGAATCCTTTTCCATCAAGAGCCAAGCCACCTCAGATTTACCTAGAGTTCAGGCCATGTGCACTGGCATTTAGTGAATAGCAGTGGACAAGCTACAAGCTTGCTGTCTGCCATATCCTAAATACACTTTTAAAAATAAAAATGAGGCTTCTAAGCTGCATAAGATAAATCTACAGTTGCATTTATGGATCACTGTCGCCCAGCTTGAGTCATGTTTCTCTGTTTCCCACATTTCCCCTGCTTACACCATACCTGTAACCTGCATCAATGCCATGTCTCTGCACTGCTGCTGAGGTGTGAAAGGGAATCCTTCTAGAACGAGCCTCCTTTTTTCCTGAATTTGTCTCTACTTGTAGCATAGAGCAAGGAAGGGCACACAAAAAGCATGAAAGCCTGGAAAAGGGAATTATGGAATTGGTTCTGGGAAATGTGACCTACAGAGTATAGATAAATTTCAGACACATCTCAGAGAGGGACTGGAGAGGAAGCAAGATGAGGTGGAGCACATAATTGGTATTACCTCCACAGTAAGGTTGTATGGCTGCTAGGGCTTGATTTTAGAGTTTACACTATAGAAGATCAATAGATTTGGCCTTTTGGTTGTCACTACATTCATAATAAGGTCAATAAGAAACAAACTTTTAAAAAGGTGTCCAGGAGTATCCAAATCTCATGGAAAAACAAAGAGACTCTACTCTTTGTAGGCTAGTTTGAAAATCCTTCCCTACATCCAAATTTCTTTCCCAGAATCCAAATTTCTCTTTCAAGTCAAGCACACTTGTATGTGGCAGGGCTAGAATTTCCAAATTAAAAATAAAGGTAGTCATGGGCCTCAGATTTTCTACCTTTTTTTAGCCCTGGGACACATACTCTGTGACCTCAAATAGAACAGGAAATTATTTAGCCACATTTGCAGGCTATTGAATGAGATGACTGTCTGCAACAACTAGTGGTTCAAAGTAAAAGGTTCCCTGTTACAGACTCTTGCATCTGCACATTGTAAGGGAACCATTCACATTTTGTCAACAACATAGCTGGTGGTAATTGCTAGCAGAAATGAGCTAGCTGCACAGAGTGGTAACTTCAGGCAGCTAGCCATCCTAAAAGATTGCAATCATGTCATTAAAGCAATAAGTAAAAGATTGAGTGGCTGAAGAACTGCAGTGCTATTCTGTGACAGATAACTTGAAAAGGTGGGTTGTGAATAAAAACCCTGAAAGGGGGCCAATAATAACAGATAAGTATATTCCAAATGGCCGTAGCTCATATCACCTACCAGAAGTCAGAGAAATTTGGTCTTGTTTGTCATTGAACCTACTGTAGGAACTCATTAATGTGGCTAAGTGAGCAGCCTAAATTGCTGTGAAAAGATTAACTTGACAGAGCTGTTGGTGGGTTAAAGATTTTTGCACGCAACTACGACTTCATCACTAAATCATCAAGTGCTGGAACTATCTACATGCGTTTCAGTGCCAGATGTACTGCTGCGGTTTTAAGAGAGATTTTCAAGGGCCAAGCAGAGGTTTTTCAGTTCCTCTTTCATTTGACTGAGTGTTCGCTCAACTTTCTGAGGTGTGTTCAGAACCTCTATGCTGCTGGTGAACGGGTCATAGCACAAAGAAAAAGGCTTCTTGATCTTCATCGCGTAGTTTCTGTAAGGGGAAGAAGACAGATCTGTAGTTCAGAAGCCATTCCGTAAATGTAAAACATGGAGAACCTAATTTCTCGGTGTGTAGGCATGGATTTAATCAGGGGAGCAGCGGCTGCTGTGACACCCTCCTCGCTGCCCCTCGTTAATGTTGTGTGGTGCAGCACTCCCTCCCCACTGCTGAAGTCCTTGCAGCCCAAAAGATCTGCAGTGCCTGCTTCTCCGTGTGGCTGGCTCAGCCCCCGCCTGTGCTCTTACAGCAGCTCTACGTTAGCACAGTTCAGAGTTATTACAACCGCAAGCTAGAGGAATGCAGGCACACAGCATGTCTGCCTTCTTCACTTCCAAGAAATAACCTGAAGTAGCTCTTTCTGCATAAAATTCTAAAAAAGCTATTGATATTAGGCATCCTGGGCTATTTTGCCTTCTCTTTTCAACGAAATAACAGGATTGCTTGCCATTTCTGACAATGTTTCCATTAAGTACATGCTGGTAGGAACCCCCTGTACTGATGTTGCCTAATGTTTTCCATTCTGACAGATTCTTGTGCCTTCAGTTCTTATGAGCAGTTTTGGCTGAGCAACTGTCTTGAAAACAAGTATGAAAAAGCTTCAAGTCAGAGAATGGTGTATTCCTTGTCTTTTTACGTTCTTTTCAGGTCTGACCGAGGCAAATGCTCTTGAAAATCCTCCCTCTTCTGTGCAGTGAGTTCTTAGCTGTGTTTTTACAGAGCACCAGGATAATAACTGAAGGTGAATCCTGGGTTTAAAGATGAGGGGCCTAATTTACCATTGCTATAACCCCAGCAGACAGTTCTTATGTGGAGCAGGTTGGGGGGAGCAGAGGGGAAGTCTTGCTCAGGTTCCTTTCCTCCAAGAAATCCCTCACTTTGGCTCTTACATGCTCCCTAGTAGCTCCACTGTCAGCCTCCTGCCTCCAGCCAAAGCTGGTCCTCTTGTCCAGACTGTTGGAGACTAAGGCCCAGAATTTAAACCTTCTTTGCTAAAAAACAAATCTTTTTTATATAAGGCAGCCAAACAAATGCAGTTAGAAACTCCTCAAGCTAATTTAAAATAATGTTATTTAGGTTGCAGTCAGCTACTTTTTAGGAACTGGATTGCCTGTGATTGCTGATTTTGCTTTCTTCTGCAGGTATAAGCAGAAGGGAAGGACAATCTTGTTTTCAAATCCCTGCTGATCCGTGTTAATTCCTGAGTCTGCAATAAAATTTGTGTGCGACCTTGGGTAAATCACTTTAGTTCTTTATGTCCTCCTATTTGTATGGAATAGCACACAGGTGACCTAATTGTGGAATTGCACTCTACTCCATTGCACGCTACCCAGTTACAGAATTTTCCTCAGAAGCTGCTATGAGAGTAAAGATGAGGCACTGCTACGATGAAGCACTGAACAGGGCATAGCAATATGTAGCTATGATTTTCCATGAAGCTTTTCTCAAATACGCAACATCGTGTTTAACATAGTTCTAAAAAAAACACTGTGAAGATGAAGCATGTGGTGAGATAGCCTAGCATGGTTTAAACAGTAGTGGTAGACGTATTTAAGATTAGGATTCAAGCTGTGGTGCCCCCCCCCACAATGAAAAGAATACCTGTGACTGCTTTACTCACTGGAGCTTGGCCTTGGCATCTTCAAAATTTTCTGCTATGAAATAGACAGGCTGGAAGGCTTGATCCTGATAGGGGTGAACTGCCATCACTTCGGGATCAAAAGGCTTGTACTCGGGCTTGTTTGATAAGGCGTACTTTGTAACAGAAAAGACAAAAGTTAGAAGAAGTAAATGAGCATAGCAAGAAATAGTGCCTATTGGGCTGTGAAATACTCTTTATGGAATGATTCAAGGGTAATATCTATTCCTGTTCCTTCACGGGTGAAAGCTGGTTTTCATAAATATTAGTTAATAAAAAAAAGGAAGGAGATGTACAGGTACTATTGCAACGGCTGGGTACCACAGCCACATTCTCAGACAGGGAGAGGAAAATCTATCCCATCCCCCAAAATCTGAATCTCTAGCAGAAAAAAGAGTCTCAGATACTTCGTAGTATCATGCTGCTTTTTGCAACCAGTATAGTGGAAGACTCACAGCATTACCCAGCGCTACTTCAAAGTTCTCAGTGCATGTTGCAAAGCTCACATTTCCTGCTGTGCTGATGAGTGGACAGCACACTCATGGTATTTTGTGCACAGCTCTGTGACAGAGCAGCCTAAGAGCTTCTCTGAAACAAAACACATAAAATGTGCACTATACATGAGTGGGGAGACAGGGAGGTGCATATGTATGTGTGTGCGTGTGCGTGTTTTGGGCCCAGAGAGGTAACTTAGGTTCTTCTATTTTCCCCTCAAGCTGAAGGATTACCGAAGCCACTTATGTCCACACTGCAGTCCACAGGCCCCTTGATCTGTTGTTCAGACATACTGGAGCTAACTTCAAACCAGCCAGCAGCAGCTCTGGTGCCAGCGCGATTGCACAAGTATTGGTGCATGATGCTTTGTACTTATGCAGGGTCCTGGGAAGGCAGCACAGCCCAGGCTCCAAGGCAGTTCCTGCACAGTTCATCTGCTGCTGAAACCAAGCAAGCTAGTTTAAGGCGAGCTTAGCTTCAGTGACTCTTTAACTGACTGTACATGTGTCTAAATGCTGATTTGACCTCCATTTAGCCAGGATGATGAGTCTGCCTATCTTTCTCTCTCTTGCTCTTCTTCCCCAGTCTTCAGAAGGCTCCCTTCACTGTGTTATAACCCAAATACCAGCACTTGTAAAGACCCAGTCAGAGTGAATGACACGACACAAGACTTGCAGCTCAACCTGCTAACTAGAGAAATTCAGATGGTACACCTAAGCACATTTTTAGATGTTTCACTGAACTGAGCCTGAACTCTCCACCTTTGAAGGCCCACCTTAACCAGTAGGCCAATTTGCTGCAGAGCTGATGCAAAAATTAATAAAAGGGTTTTAAAAAAAGAACAAGAATATAAAATGTTAATAGATGGTATTTTTCTTGTTCTTCATTTGCGCTATGTAATTGAAGAATAAGCCTTGGAGAGCGTTCATGAAATCTAAGATGGATGATATATACAAACATAAGGCTGCTCTTATAATATTATAAACTCTGAGGACTAATGGGAAAAGATTTTAGAAACTCAAAACCTGACAGGGGTCCCGCTATGTTGTCAATGTTCAAGCACAACTGAAATCGCATTGATTTCTGTGGAAGTTCTGCTTGAAACTGGATGGCCTGAAAGGCTGTTGCAATATAAGAACTTGTTGTGCTGTAAGAAAAGCATATGTAGCACTAAGTGCTGCCAGAAGTGTGGTATGAGCCATAAGATTTTACAGTATGTAGGAAAGAGTCCAGCTGAGTGTTAACAGGAGAAGCATTTCAGATAATGCAGAACAGCTGGCAGAATATAGTGAAATAAATAGTGCAATACCAAGAGCTGTTGGGGAAGAATTCTTACAGTTCAGAAGAGGCAAGGTTGGCCAGCAGTCAGATCTGTTACAACTGCTCAGTTCAGCCTTCAGCATGGTTATCCTGTCCCTCTGACACCTAGCTGCTGTTACTAAACTATTTATTAGATAACCTGGATTCAAGTGCGAGTCCCATGCAGAGGGCATACAGCTCCACCACTCCTTCATCATCTGCCTTTCACCAAATTGTGCCCAAAGTTTTGGCAGGATCAGCTCCTCCGTAGACAATAACTGACTAAAAATGAGTTCAGACTGGTCGGAGCAGGTGGTGTGGAGAAGAGGAAAGTGTTTTGAAGATTTCATAGCCAAGATGTAGTTCCCTGGGTTACAACTATCCCTCCACAGCCAGCCTAGCCAGGCTGGGATTCGGGGATGTTCCTAAACTCCTTGTTGGTGACGTCACGGACATGATGCTGTTCATCCTCCCCAGCTGGTTGGTTAGATGTTATCTTCTTGCAGTTAACCACCTGGTCTTAGTTGCTAGTGCCTTTATCGCTTCCTCAGTGGCCAAATCATCCCGATTTACCTGGGCAGGAAGCCTGCAGGGATGAGGAAAGCCCCTACTGTGTACTGGATGCTGCAGTGCATCTCCGCAGCCACGAGCTGCAGTGAGTCTATCTGTGCCACTTCTTGTGTTGATTAGGTAAACGAAGAGGAGTCGAGTTGAAGGCCTCAGTCTATAAGCACACATCTGGGCCAATACTTAAAATACTTGCAGATAATTATCAGGACTGTCAATTTGGTTTCCTTGAGACAGTGGCTTTCTCCCAAGGACAGTGAAATTTATCTTGAGCTTTCTCAGGAGTGGGTCAAAGACCGCAAAATGAACTCTACAAGGAACTAAAGGCTATCATGAGCCTCAAAACTTTCCAGTCCAAGTGCAAGGAGCTTTTTTACTTCACCTTCTTTAATGTAATTGCCTAACCACTGCTGTATTTCTAAAAAAAAGTCACATCTACCAAAATAGAAACTGCAATACACACATTTTCTCTCTTCAGGTGTGAAAGGAACAGTTGATACATGTTGTCAAGTTGCTAGCGGGTGCTTAGGCACAGGATCTCAGCACTTCACTCACAGTGCCACTGATTCTGTACTGAAATTACAATTAGATGCTTATACAGACTAGAATGATTAAATAGAAACATTTCTGAATTTCAACTTTGTTCCAAATAAAAATCCATGTGATGTATCAATCATCAGCTGTAAAAGGAAACATCAGCACTTAAGCCCATGGATATTTCTTCACAAGAAGTTTCAGGTGATCAAGGGGACCACTGAGCTGCTGTCCCAAAAGCTCTCCAGGCTTGAGCTCACACAGGGATTGCACAGGGTGTGCAGTGGCATTGCTGGTGAACTACCTGCCTGTCCTCAGTCTGCCTCAGGTGTGCTGTGCAAGATGGACACAGTTCTGGAAGGGAATAATCCTGTTTCATTTCCTATTGAGTACAAGTGCTATCACCTCTATGTGCAATTTCAGAAACATGATGGATGAGAAACCTAGATGGAGCTAGCTGTATCAAAAACTTATCCAGCTGCATTACCCCAGCAATTATTGATAGTAAAAGGATTGATAAGACTCTCTCATTTATCAACTCAGGGACAGTAATTTTTTTTCCATAGTCAACATTGGAGGTAGGCAATCTGAAATGCTGTTATACTTTTGCATTATATAGCACTGTTTTGTGAACGAGCAGCATTAGCCTACTGCGTCGATGAAAGCAGAACAGCTTGTTGATGTCTGGGGAAGCAAAGAACAGAAAAAAAGGAGGGAGAGCACAAGTGCTGTATGCTCAAATCCAACCGCTAAATACAAATGTTTGTCATGTGACATTTACCTTCATCTGTGTCAATATTAAACTAACAGAAAAGGAGGTAACATCATGCACATAGATTCTGCAGTGCATATTGATATGAAAGCTAGGCAGTAATAAGAAATATATAGACTCTCTGCTTTTTAGATCCCCCTAAACAGCAGGTGCAATCCTGGCCTTTACAGCTGAGGTCACAATCTAATTCGGTTCCTCTTAGCCACAGACCTACTCTCAGATTCAGCCAGGCTCCCTCAGTTTCAGTGAGGAAATGCTTAAAGATTTAAAGCTCTGTCAAAATTGCTGGAGACTCTCCTGTAAAACCGTTAGCTAACCTTTGCTGAGTTTCTGAGCTTTAGCATAGGTCCCTCAAAATATAAATATTGGAGACATGAGTATCAGTGCCCTTTGTTATCTTGCTTAACATCTAAATTTGATTGAAAGCTGAAAAGTATTCAGATAGGCATAGCAGAATAAATGTTTCCTTGAACGGCGTTTTGATATTGGGCTTCCTCAATTTTACAAGATAAATAAAAACAAGTCTATGTTTTCTGTGTGTTGACTGAATACAGCAAGTACTGGGGGGTTCTCAGAAAAATAGTAGCTTCTGCTTTATCCTGAAACTGATAGATGCTTAAATTAAATCTTGCACTAGAGCCTGATTTGTAGGGGTGCTCATTGACCTGCTGTTTCAAAACAATACATTTCACTGTCCTACAGATCAGTGCTGCAATAGTGTTAGCACATTTCTATTAATGTTCATGTGCGCAAGATCAGGTTGCTGTGTGGTAAGAAAGGCACATTTGTTTCTTTAGAGAGGTGAGGAGAATATGGATTTCTCCACTAACCAAGCGAGAAAGCTCTGCCAATCATATACTATTGAGTTTGCAAACAGAACTCTCCAGTTTGCTGGTGCTGGGAGAAAAACCAATGCTAAGTTCAGCCAGGAGTAAAGTGAAAGGTGATGTCTGTGAGGGTTCCCCTTTCTATATGTTAACTCTCAACTGCCTCCTGCTGGGACTCCTATGATAGCTGTTCTGAGATACGCTTGCGGATTGTCTCCATGTGGTTCCACATGAGCGTATCATATAGCTGGGTGGTAGGTTGTTGTATCTATCTGTTATGCCTAAGATAGATACATCTCCCATGAAAAATTTTATTTTTGGTTTATAAAAAGGCTTGAAAAGAACAGGTTTATTTTCCTTTGCCTTTTACTCATGCCAAAAAAGCATTCACTAGCTGCACAAATTTAAGCAAGTGAGAGCTACTGATTTCAGTGCTGGGCTTTTGTACTCAGAAAATAATCATTTGCTTCAGTGCTCTGCAAAACTGAGGAGCAATGAATATCCTTTCTGTCAGTTGTTTGTCCTAAAGAGGAGAAACCCGTAAGCTCTCTGTAAAGGCATACATCTCCTCTTTCCACAGTTAATCTGTTGGAGCAGGGCACTTTCAAACATGTGCTCAATGATTTTCATCTGCATAAAACTCCAAGCTGGAGTCAGTTTTGAAAAGCATTTTGGAATGTAAAATTCTAAAGAGCTTTCTTTTTGTCAGTATGTGTGATATTTACAGTTTTCTGGCACTTAATTTGGTACAGCCAGTCAGTGCTCTTCTGATATATACGTGCATGAAGGTCAGTGCTATGGACAAAGGAGCAGAGTTCATAATAGGCGTCATATTGCCCTCTAGTGAATAAGGCAGAAAGGTACATGCATTTAAATGTCAAATTCTGCTCTGTTACTACTGGACAGGAACAGTAAGGAGCAAATCTAATACTTTATAGGTAAGCTGTTTTTATTGCATTTTGTCTCTTTAGGTTAAAGACAAGTACAACCCTACAGTATTCTGTCCTATTCTTAGCACCTTCTGCAGAGGGAGAGTGAATTTCTTTGCCAAAAGAAGTCAGTATTTTAAATCTACCATCAAGGCATTGTGTTATGTGAGGAGATAATCTTTCATTTTTCCTATAAAATTTAGAAAACTAGATTATAGAAATCTTTCAGTACCATACATATAACACATACCATCAGCTCGCCATAAGATGAAAGCAGTCCTGCCCCATAAGCTTTGATGGATCCATTTTGTTTGCAGAGTCCAAACTCCACAGAAAACCAATAAAGCTGATAATCAAGAACAAGTTGTGAAAATCACAATCTTAACAGGCAGTTCATTTTTAAGCTTTTCTTTTTTCCTTCCTTCTATTTTCTTTTATCCTAATACCTTAATGTCTTTTTGTCTTTAAATTTTAAATTTTACAGACATGCATAATGCAACACATGCATATGTGTATACATACAGATTATAACACTTTTTTTCAAAACCAGTTATGCTTCCCAATTTCATTACCAAAAAAAGAAAAAAAAAGTTAATGATCATTAAATAGGTAAATAAAATCATAAAGTCGTATCCCTTTCTTGCTTTGAAAGATGTTACAAATTACCATGCATCATGTTAGCCATGAGCAGCAGAATAACCTATCAGATTTCAATGCATAGTCCTCAAAGGCACTGGGAGACCCCTGTTGCAGGTTTGGGACCTTAGAAAAGGTCCTTGAAAGCACAAGTTCCCTCATCCTTTCTCTCTATGGCAGCATTCAGCGGGATTGAAGAATGACTTATCCCTT